ACGAAATAGGGTGAATACATCTCATTACACTGATTTACTGGTAGTCTCGAAACCCTACTCTGATACAAATCCTCATTTAGTTTCCGGTGAGACCACATCACAAATCCCTTCCAACCAACTTTCCTTTCGAAATGGAGAGTCATGTCACTGTATATCATGTTCGCTTATTCTGCAAACTCTGCAACACATTGAACCCCATATTTCGCCTACTTTGTTCGTCAGAGTTCAGTCCTTCTAGTCAGTCTTTTTTCATACCCTAACAAACGCTCCTCTTGAATAGCTGTGGCTAATGCTGGCCGAATTGCAATTCGTGCAAACGACGAGGTTTGCTATTCTCTGCTAACATGTCGAAAATAACCGCTGTATGACCGGAGTTCGATTCCGTTTTGGGGTGTTGACGAGGCCCAGGCGAGGTTGAAACTGCCGTTCAACCCAAATGAGAACAACTATTTGGGGGCAAGGTTTAGGCATAATTATATCAACTATCAATCCATGATCACCTTATCCAAAAACTTTGAATATATTAGGTTTTTTGAGGGGGATATGTACCGCTAACTATGCAGGGAGGAGAAAACTAATCTTCAATCAATAGCGGTCATGTAGAATGTCGGAGTGAATAATTTGGTTCGCTAAAGACAAACGGGCACGCCAAGGACACGCCCAAATACCGGTCACGATTACAGGTCCAGAACCAAAGTTGACCCAACAGTATGTACAAGTTTAGGCTTAAGAATAACCATCAAGATCACGTGCACATTCCCGAACAGACCGATAAGTAAGTAAAATGTCAGGAGATATCGCTGGTAATGCCAAGGTTGTCAAAGCAACCACCGGAACCTCGTTGGCCTATACAGCTAACAAATTGTTATGCTGTCCAGCAAACAACTAATGATTGTAGTCTTCAGCGATAGACAATGATGTGATCAACCTCTGTATTTACTGCATTTTTCAGTCTACAATGAATTGTACTGAGGTTGTTTGACCTTTCTTTCGCAACTTGGTCATATTGGTAGGAAGACTTGGAGGAACAAGATCAAACAACCTCTATACAACGAAAGGAGACTGCGACCACACAAAATACCACACCATCTTGGTCTTCGTACCTTCGATGAATTTTATTGTTTATTTTGTTGATCATAAATTATAATATTGATCCTTCTTATTATTTTTATTTATATGTCTGTTATTTTATTCACTTTTATTTTAATTATCTATTATCTTATTGATTCATTAAATTTAAATCATAAAGTAAATTGTTCTATGAAGTGTAAATTCTCTGCAGTGGATGCTCCTCTCAATAGTGCGGTACAAAAGGTCGAATACAAGTTGTATGCCTTTTTCGCAAATTTTTTTCTGACTCTGATAAAGCATAACGACATCTGGCCGGAATTCTTAATGCATTGGTAGCGAACCTGCTCATGATAAGGCTTGATATTTACATTGAAGTTCACTAAATCATGCATCTAAAAAGGATGTGCTCATCTGAGCTATACTGAACTGGGATTTGAGCTTCGGATGTGCTATTCAAGAGGCAAGCATCTTATCATTTTAGCCAGAATATCTAACTTCCCTTACGTTGCACGATAAACATGACTTCCAGTCCCTTTCACCAAATTTATTCACAAAGTGTTATGTTTATTGTTTGACTCAGCGGGGCTAAAATTCGCCTCTTAATCCGATCTCAAACGTTACAAATCCCATTTTGACTGCTGTCATAGTGTTGAAAATAAAGCAAATCACATTCCAGCTCCTTCTTTTTGTATGAGACTTTCACGTGGACAGATTTGTTATCAACGCAGTAAAAAATCTATACAAAATCATGTACTGATAATTAACGAGATATGTGTATACTTTAACAAAATCAGCTAACATTATAAAAAAAGCGTAAAACTTGTATTTTTTTATTGAGGCCATAATGATTGATACATAAGGACCATTTGCCTCTATCAATAATATGCGAAGAAAAGTTGGGCTTCGAGGAATCCCTTGTTTCATAATTGCTGAGCTTAATTCCATCTCGAGTGAAAGTGTTTGGTCTTCTAAAGCATCAGAGCAAAGGGAGGTACAATAAATAAGTGGAATTTCTGTCGGCCACCTTTCTTGATTTAGTATTTTTGAGTGATTTTTTGTGAATACTGGTTTCTGGCTCTGATAAAGCTCGTCATGGAGTCATCATAATCCGTCCAGAATGGGTTTTATCCACATCCCCAGCGGTATTTAAAATCTGGTTATGCTATCATTGCCGAGTTCGAATTCTGTTGAGGCTGTAAAAGAGATCCTGGCGGTGTGGAAACTGCAGTCCATCCTAAACGGGAAAATCCCTAGAGAGGTTAGCTTAACGAAAGTCACTAGCATCCAATTATATGTAAATACACCACCATATATAACGAAAGTTTAGCAAAAGTCAGATCCAAAACCTCGGTCACACATTGGTTTTCCAGACTCAATAACTAGGACATATACATGAGGAGGGAATGTAATGATGAGTTGCAAGGCGAGAATAGTATTATAATTGATAAGACCACTGGTGCCTGGATGAGAACAACTTTTGGGAAAGCAAGGCAATGTGAAATTAAATGGAAACGTCAGCTTTACTCATATCATTGTGGGAAAATTCTACTGCCAGTCCTTCATCACCTTAAACAAAATTGGGTGAATACCTCTCATATTACTGATTTACTGGTAGTCTCGAAACTCTACTCAAATACCAAAAAAGGAATTGTATTGTCAGTGAAAGCACAGCTCAATAGCTACAGAACCTGCCCTCGCTCCTCTACGGTGACTATTCCCACCCTTAATATCCACTCAAATTCCCGACCTATCTCCTCGGCCTCAGCGAATAATATGTGGCATGTTTCCTAAATTTGCTCTGATCGAGGCAAAAATACGTCTGTTAGGCTCGCTCTAGAGAGGCTCAAACGAGCCAACTGCTTCCAACATGAAGTGGTGTTATTAATGACATACATTTTTATCTTTCTGCGTGGGATACAGACCAGAAAGCAGCCAAAGTGAGGTTAATACTAGCTCAGGTTATTAAGCCCGCGGATCGTGCAGCTTGGTGCTAGAGGTGAGGAGCCAGAACGAGGCGTGAACCTGTCGATTTCACATCCTAGGACATCCCAAAGATTGGATTACCATTTTCCTGCCAATTGGGCCTTTTCAGCGGCTCCAGTGGGAGTGGTTAACTCTTTTTTCCCATAAAAGTACAAACACCCACCATAGCATCGTTTTGCCTCACACACGAACACTCCTCTCAATGCCCCATACATGTACCCTCGGAATTAATCGATTTAGACAAATTCTATCTACCGGAAGCTGACGGCAAGAAATCATATAATGGGTTGTGGTTATACTGGAAGTATTGCAGTGTTTGGTAGTTAAAAACACCTTTGTTTCGTAGCTATGAAGACCTAAATTGTTTCAGAGAAGGCTTGACTATTGCATCGAATAGTGGACTCTCCATGTTCCCTTTATTTTTCAGTCCACCATGATTCGCTTTATCAATTTGATTTAGCATAATACAGGTCTCTTAAGTTTTCTAGGTTGGATATTATTCATAGAGATTACTTCCATTTCGAGTGGAAGTGTTTGGTGAAGAGATTTGAACGTCGATTTCACGAGAAGACGACGACCGATTAAGCTTGACCAGCCGTCGATTGGCTTTACTGGAACATTCGTGCTGGCGCTGTTTCCGAAGTGATCTCCTTCGATTCCGGTGACAAGGTGCTAACCATTCGTCCGTCATAAGACGAACATCCTCAGAGCGAGTTAACATCGTCACAACCAAATTCAAGCTAACGAGTCAAGAAAACGCATCGGCACGTCTCTACAAAACTGTATATATAGTCTGTGTATGATCTCTTTGATTATGCATAAAGTGATTTTGCCCATTCTTTCCCACATGAAGACAAAAATGGCTCATCAACCTAACCAGACGTGTGTCTGACCTCGCGCAGTCGGAGTGATGGTTAAGGCATGTTTGTAGAGATAGAGGTCATCAGACCTGGATGGCCGAGAGCAGACGTTACTTTTGCTGTCTTTACTACTTTGAGCCATCACTGCCGATTTTGTGCATAAGCGAACACAAACGGCCGCATACACATACAGAACTAATCAAATTAAAGATTTCAGACCTAGACTACATATGCAGCTTTGTAGGGATGTGCCGATGAGTCCTCTTGACTCGTTAGCATGGTTTCGAAGAATTACTTAGTGGATTGATACTAACACACATTGTATTTCGTTTAAAAAGGCGGGAGGAAGACATTCGTAAATTGGCCTCACTGTATACCGAAGAAGGGATGCCCTGTACTCGTGACTGCTGAACTGTGGAAAATAAAACCTCGATTCACCGTCCTGTTATTTCGAAGAAACTCTGTTGAGCTTGCGTCCGTCATGTGATGGACATCGTCGGAGACAGAAAAGATAATTTACGAGTAGTCACCAAAAACCACTAAACCAAGAAGAGTGGCTGGTTGACATTGTAATTACTGATTATATACTACTTTGTGATCTTAGTAAAGCATTCTATGAGATGAAGTTGTTTGAGTTTGTCTTGGCAACTTGATCATATTGGCATCTTATCCGAAGTCCATAGTATGCACGATGATTCTCACCGTGGACTTGGTACATTCCCAGACGTTTGCCGGCATTGTCAGTTAGCCTTGTCATTCTTAGCACAACGCGACAACTTGTAAAAGAGACGAGTTGATTCTACGGAATCTGAAGAAACACAGAGAATCCATAGGAAGGAATAAAGGAGTTATAAAAAGCATATTTCAGCTTGGACACTATGAAGGAAGAGCAGGAAACGAGAGGATGAGCAAAATTATATATGCCTGCCCTACTGGGAACTCCTAAATGCCTAATGCCGGCCTATGGCAAAATAGCATGATCGCATCAATTTGTGATCGAATTAGATGCTCAAAAATTCTTGTTGATGGTTTTACTTCTGAACCCACAGCATAAACTTGGTTAAAGACTCCA